CACGACTTCATACAGCATTATCATTATCGAGTTTGGATGATTTGGCGGTCTGTAGAATTAATACTGTGAGTATCGTTGAAAGAGTGAGATATGACCATTCAATCTGCAACTAACCTAGCTCCAGGTCCAGATAGTTGAGCGTTTCAATTTCTTTGCACCGTTTGGTGAAAGGTTAGAAATGAACGTGTAAGAATATTCACGTGTAAGAACCTGGCTTAGCCTCGCCGCTATGATCGCTTGGCAGTGTTAATTGCAACAAAGTTGTAGTGTTTGCATTCAGACGCCCCTTATCATTCCTTGTCATTTGTTACCGTTCATAGCACCGTTGTCCCCGTCCAACCCCCTATGAAACATGTAGAAGCGAAGGTTTTACTGTCACCACGAAGACTACAACGAATTTGATAGTACTCAAATTCTGGACTTCGTTATCAGCCGTTATCGATTGTTATCACTTTTGATCACTCACTATCGTGTTCCCGTAAGATTCCCCGTACCACATGTGAGAGCCAAGGTTCCAATGTCACTGCGAAGGCCGCAACGAAACTGGTGGTATCCACACTTTGACGCCCCTTATCAGTTCTTATCAGTTGCTACCACTTTCTTTCACCCACCCTTCTTGGTCCCCGCCTCATCCCACATAATATGAATGGGTTCAAACATGTTACTGCCAATGCGAGGAGAGCAACAAAACTGGTGGCCTTTGCATTCCGGCGCACGTTGTCATCTCTTATCACTTGCTATCACCATTCTTCGCTCTCTATTCGGGTCCCCGTCACACAGCACATTACACTTATGAGTGGAAACTCTCCACTGTCAACGCGAACGGCGTAACGAAATTGGTGACATCAACATTTCGACGTCCGTTATCAGCTCCTATCAGTAGTTATCACTTCCCGCCACCCCCATCAGTGTTCGTGTCCAGCCCCACCTAAAGTTTGAGCGCTCTGGGTCCAAAGGGACTGAAGTTATGAATTTCCGGTCAGACACACACACAACCGCTTAGCCGATTATATATAGTAGGACAATGCCATTTTATTCTTCGCAGCGCAATTTTGAATTTTTTTTTAAATTCAAAGTCGAGTAATCATGCAAAAATCAAAATTTTTCTTCATTCTCAAATATAATAGAACATTTTCTCTTCGGATTCATCTTCTTTCTTTCAGCCATGGATTGCCTGGCGGTGGCAGAACGTACTATATACCCCTTTCAGTTTTATTTCATTTATAAGTAAGCTCGAGCTGTTCCCCCACTTTCAAACCACTAGTAACACTTTGCCATCACACAATACGTGCGACTCGTGAAAAATGAGCTACCATTCAAATTAATCTGACGAATTCATCCAAATTGAACAATACTTTGTGGAACAGTCACTTTATTGCACGGTTAGACACACGTACCTGACCCACTCGACTTTGATTTATGGTTCAGATAGACTAGCCAAAAGGAATCCTTACATTCTCCATCCTCAAGCTAGGAGCCGAATAGGCGTCAAAGCCAACTGATGTTTAATACGTTGATGACCGTATGGTATGATGTCATACCACACTTTCGTATAAGCAGACTAGTTTTCCTTATTTTATTTGGCGTTTTTCCTGTTCCACAACGGTCCATGTACATTATTGGATCCGAAAAACAATTTTTCATTACTGATAATGAAAACGCTGAAGGATTAATGCCTATTGATGAGAGAATACGAAAAATGTTGAAGCAGTACGCGCACAACGGCGGTCGTCAACGTGTTAAAGGCACGAGTCGGGATTGAATTGATGCGTTATTTTGTTCAAACATTAGGCAAGGGGTGCAATGAGGAACATTAGTGAGGAGAAAAAGCAAAAAGCACCATAGAAAACACTAAATTTCCCTTAGGAGGCCGGCCGTAGTACGACGGAGAGACACAGCGCTGCGAGGAGAGGGAGAACGCGAGATAGTACGTCATACGCGAGAGACGCAGAGACCACGTATGCCGTGGTGGATTACGCTGGCAGCGCGGGCAGCGCGGCGGGCAAGGCCTTAGCGCCATTGCCGCGCACTTTTGGGTCGCGATAGTGTCGCGCCCTCAGTGCTTGGGGAGCCCACTATCGCACCCTGGGAAGAACTTCTGCTGGTTGCCTAATCCTGACTCGTGGCTTTAAGGGGGAGTGAAGCGTGGTCCCGCACGAAACAAAAATGGAAAGGAAGAAATGGAAACAAAACATCAAGTAGTAGCGGCGGAAGACTCACGATAACTGAAGATTTGGGGCGCGTCTGCGTAGCGGCGTCAGCCTTGGAGCGCGGCAGGTATCACCCGGACGCTGAGAGAACGGGACGCGGCGAAGAAAAAATTTTAGAGGGAATAACTTTCTTGGGACGTACTTTTTTGACTTGTTGAGGTAGATTTTGACTGTGCCTGAGGTGCGCTTTCAGAAAACTACAAGGATTGCCTAACTCTCCGGAAAGTACTTCTGTTAGAAGTGGAAAACCCAAAATTCTAAGAAGGCGCACCTTCAACTTTGAAGGCCCATAAAATCTTTCGTATGCGACATTTTGGAAATCTGTAAAAAGTTTCAGAAACTTCAAATATTTCTCTATCAAAACAGTATAAAAAGTTTAGTGATTGTCCCCTTTTCAAAAAATTGTCCCGTTCGCAACATTTTCCGTGTGAAGGCCATAACTCACTTCATTTTCATTTCTGTGATGCACTTTTTTCATGGGGTGAAAGTACAGGATTTGCTCTTTCTAACAAGCCCAAACCGTTTTTCAAAGTTCATTTTTCGAGAAAATCACACGTTCGAACATTTTGGGGGGTTTTGCCGAACACTTTTTTGAAATCGCGAGTTTTTGGGCTTTCAAGCGGGCATAACTCACTTCATTTTCATTTCTGTGATGCACTTTTTTCATGGGGTGAAAGTACAGGATTTGCTCTTTCTAACAAGCACCAAACCGTTTTTCAAAGTTCATTTTTTTCGAGAAAATCACACGTTCGAACATTTTTTCCCATAGGTTTTTGAGCAGCACATGCGAGTTTTTGAGCTTTCAGCAATAATAACTTCCTTCAAAGAGCTTGTTGGGGAGGGGCGAAGACATTTTTGAAGACTACGAGATTTCTGCTTTCTTATGTTTTACCGTTGTCTGGAAGAATCGTCCTCAGAAAATTAGGTCCCGAAGAACTTTAATTTCAGCCCCGAGAAGTCAAACCTTTCATAGGGATGCATTCAACTGTTCTCTCCTCAAGAAAACACCGTAATTTGCCTAAAACTGTCTCTGTGCATAATAAATCGAATCTAATGCGGTCTGCACAAGCAAGTCTTGCCCTCGGATACGCCACGCACGCGCCTGTGGCTGGCATTTGGAAGTCTATTTCATCTTGCTATGACCCGAACTTGCTCAGTTTTTGGCACTGCTACCACGCTCTGATGCGACGAAGCGAGCTCTCCTGGAAGCTTTGCTGAAGACAGGAAGGTTTTCAAGTGGTTGTAATTTCACGCGGATGAAACACTTTCAGGATGAACGTAAGGCTGGAAGAAATTCATTTTGCGTTTATTGACAATTAGGTTCTTTGGAAGGTTCCTCCAGTAGTCATTTACCGAATCGACACCCATCGCGATTTCCAGTTGGAGGTTTCTATTTAATTGCCCCTTCCCTCGCTGACCCGAATGCTACCCCTCGTATCGAATATTTGCGACGGGACAGTAACCCTGTCCACTAGTCCAGCATGTTGGTTAAGTAAATAAAAGGAAGGTAAGGTATGAACAAGCAGCAGGCAATCTCGCGCATTTGGAGAGCCAGCCATATATCCACAGGTCGACCGCGTGTGCTCCTACAATTGGAGCGCACCAGTTGGAAAAATCGACGAATCTACCGCTTATTTGGCGGACTATAACTTCAAACATTTACCACCACTTAAGAAAATGAAAGCACATTCTGGATACACGAGATATCTAGTTTCTAAATTGTGTTGAACTTTTTTGTTCAAACGCGTTTTAACCCACAAGTTAGAGACATCGAGGACGTTTAAATTACATGCAGGTTTTCATCCTTTGGAAGATCCTTTGCTTCAGTGACGTCCTTCCGACGATCTTAACAAAGAATAAGATTTACTCTTTCTGACAGGTGCTGCATCTGTTACGAAATTCTCTGATTCGCGAGAAATCTGCGTCGAGTCTCTATCGAAGACGGCTTCCAAACCAAACGAAAACCCTATCCCTCCTTCGCCAATGCGAGGAACTTCTTTCAAAACTCTCAAAATGCTTTTGGAACAATTTATCCTGAAGTATTGCGTAGGAAATGATGCTCTAAGCGTTGAAGCATTCCGTTCTGGTATGCGCCATGCAGTAACCCACACGAAGTCACTTGAAGGTGCTTTTGACCCACGACAGCTTGCTTCTGCTGACCAAAGTTGTTTCTAGTCCTGACTAATCAGAATAACTCTCATGGCCATAAAGTAGTCTGATTATCACTTCATTTACGTCGCTTCCTTACCAAATATCATGCACTGAGTAGCATTCATCTTTTATTGATCAGTATCGAAAGTAGTGAATACTAACAAGATGCGAGAATAATAATTTCAAAGCGCAGTCTTCTGGTCACAATAACACCACATAGAATGGGAGAGCCATAATCCACGCAAAAGCTATACGTCATGTAGCCGCTCAGGTGGCTTTTCTGAAGTGAAACTCTTCTCACAAAAAACCATAAAAACCTCGAAAACAATGCACACAATTAACATTCCATAGTTAATTTTCGCACCAAGGTGCGCTCACAACACCTTCAACACTTGTGATTATTACGTCCTTTCAGATGCGATGGCCGAATAAGAACATTGCAAGTGGCAAAATACTACTCTTTTCTTCGTGACTGCGACCATCAGATGTCGCAGAAAATTCGTCCACTTTTCGGCCCATCACATCAGAGAACGGAACTGAAATATTGTACACCTTCTTTTCATTGCTTATGGTAAATCGTAGTTGGTAGTATTACATTACTGATAATTAATCGTATGCTTCTTCTCGACCTTACAGTAACCCTATGGTTGTTTACGTTTAGATATGCGCAGTTCTAATAGAATATTTACACAAATTTAGCTCAAAATAGTTCACAAACTAAACTTCGTATCGTCATAGCACCACCAATGGAACTATCCTCTTCTTTCTAATCTTGGCATGTTGTGGGGTGCCTTACTCGAAAAGCAGTGCAGCAACATAGCAGAATGTGCAGAGTGCAGGTTCGAGAAAATTGGCAGATACGCCTCAAGATGAAGAAAAGGCTCACAGCAAACATTCCTCGAAAGCTCGTCGGCAGGCAGCCACCAAGGAGTGATATACAATCTCCAGTGCGAATGTCACATCACAGTTATCGAAGGAACAATGAAGCTTCACGCCAGGGCACCGCATTGCTGGTAAGAACGCTACTCTCAGTACGTGCTTTCGGTAGTCATGAAAGACTAGGCTTACGGCGTTAAGTGAAAAATCAAGTATGTTCTGCTGGCACACGTGGAGGAAAGTTCTGCTAGGAGAGCACTGGAGATAATCTGGTTATTCGCGCTATAAATCCAAAATAGCACATATGAGTGAGTGCCTTTCGGAAACAATTCTTCACCGCGCTTCAAGCTGTACAGCAGAAGAAAATCGTCGGCATTTCTTGATTATTTTTTGAAGGCAACATAGAGATTCTTATGCATAACTGACAGTGCTTTTGGCAGCGAACTATTAAACAGTGGTACCGTGAGGGAGTTCACCTTCCACGCTATCATGGCACCTCTACGAAAAGGTTTGATGTTGGTTGACAGCCGCAGAGTTCAAAGGTCAAAGGATGTGTGGGTAAAAACTATTCCCAAATTTTGGAAAGATTAATCCTTTGCAAATGGCGACTCATCCATTGCTGTGAAGATGAACATTTAGCCAGCTGCATGAATACTCCACTTACCGACCGTTTGAGGCACAGAATAATTAACGCTTGCCAGCGGTGAGTTTTGCCCACAACGAAAGCGACTCTGAACATCTTTCGCGGTTTATCGCATGCCCAACATTCTTATGATAACACTATGGTGGGCTTGTTCCATACCGATTCCGCCTCTGCTCCTTTCACTTACGATCGAACTTTTGCTGGGAGGCGTTGTTTGTTTGTGGGTCTCAATAGTGGTCTCAATGTTTCGATAACTTAATGTCATACTTAGTTACATATTCTTACTTACCTACTTACTTCTAGCTTACTACTTTACGATTTTCTATGCAGTTGTAAGCAGTTTGAAAGTAATAAATGTGAATTAAAAAAAGCACAGTGCACATAAGCAAACCAAATGATAGCCGTAAGCAATAAGTGGTCAGACACAAACACAGTGAAAACGCTAGCGTCGTATCCGCATTCCAGGAGCGGCCAGAAGATTCCTGCAAAAGTCTAATATCTTGTTTAGATTAGTGCAAAACAACATCAGCTAATGTGGTTTAGGTTCGACGAAAAACAGGAAAACGTGGCTAGTGTAGGTGTTCCTACAAATGAAAAAAATTACAAATAAAGGTAAGCGGATTAGTCCGGCCTTCCAAAATGAGACGTACACCTGCATGGATGCCTCGAAACGGTTCAATTCTGCCTCCGTTATCTGTATAACGATTTCTCGAGAAGACTTGAGAAACAGGAAAGCGCAGCGCTAGCGATTTTGACTCACAGGCGAGAGACTATTTGATCGACTCTGATGCAAATCCCTTCTTTTGCTCTCCGATGAAGTGCAGCTAGAAAGATTTCTAACAAAGAGCAGATCTTAAGAGAGCAAAAGTACGGACTCATATTGGAATAGACCCCGCGATCTCATGCCTTTGGATCAGGGTCGCTACCAGAGTCAACCGTGCGTCGCGCAGATTTCAAAATTGGTACGAACCACTCCTTTTCGGAGGGTATCTGTACGACCCTATGTATTAGCATGCGTCTTTTTACATATTGTAGGCCCATGGTCGGTGTATGGGCCGTAATCGACATGCAGAGGTGGTGGACAGTGACACTCAAAATTTCATACCATTCTTCGGAAGCGGTCTCATGAGATGGGATGCAAAAATTTAAAAACTACAAATTACTTTCTTTTCAAAAAGTTTTCGAACTTGTTGTAAATGTTCAATTCTTCAGAAAATCGTCCCGTTGTTCCGTTTTTCTGTGCACACACGAGTTTTCATCATTCAAACATTCATGGGTTCCTACATTAAAGAGCTGAGTTGGGATGAAATGGTGCCCCGGTAGCGTAACTGGTAGCGCACTTGCCCGGAAAGCGAGAGGTGCGGGTTCTAGTCCCGCCTGGGGCGAAAGTTTTGTTCACAACCCAGCATTCTTGTGAAACATTCGCAAGGCGAACTGCGGCCAAAAACAGCAGTTAAACAAAAACAAGTTAAAGAACTAATGCTACCTCGTAGTGCCCTCAGAGGAGTAAGTCATTGACGTTGCCAGACAAAGAAAAAGATTAGGAAATTGTGTAGAATTTCAAACTGGTCTGCCTGCATTGTCCAAAATAGCGCTACTATTGTGACAGTATTCAAAAAGGCTCCCAAAAATACGTACGAAACAAAACTGAACGCTTATTGAACTTATAAACACGTAATGAGCAAAATGAAAAAAGACCCATAATCAGTATAAAAAAACGAAAGCTCCCGCGCCCTCCCAATGGATCGGCTATGTGGGTCCCGCAACGAAAACCCACAAAATGTCCCACATATGAGATTTGTGCATCGCCGAGTATGCACGCACGCAATACGGCCAATGACATGTGTGACATGCGCCGAAATCGGTGCGGGCGTCAATGTGTTATAAGGAAAACATTTCTCCTGTCATGGGTTTCTATTAGTACTGCAGAGGTCAATCAGCCGAATTCGCTGCACTTTCCTCCACTTTGATTTGTTCTAAAAGCATGGGAGTTTCTCTGAAAGATTTTTCGCTTGTGCTCACTGGAACATGACGTATTTTAGTAAGAAATCTCGCTCTAGGATGCGCCATTCAATCGTCTGTGGTGCGTAGTCGCAGTGGTAGTTGGAAAGTCTGTCCTCCTTTGCCACTTAGCCACGCCTTGGCAGCTTCTAATTTTGTGAATGGTACTTGAGGTTACGACCCCCTCCACTCTTCCATTGGCAAATGAATACGACCCCCTCGTTCTTTACGCAACTGGTTGACCCTGGTCGCTACTGCTGCATTTTCTTGTTTAATATGGTTCAGGAAATCGTTCCGCAGACAGCAAAAGCAGATTTTAACTCAGCGTCTCGTGGCGTGCATAGTGATTACTCTAATTTCAAACGGCCGGAATGACCGTATGACCATCTTTGTTAAATCATTAGTGCGTTGGCTGAATGTGCAATAACATCAAAATATTCATGGGTCCAAATTGTAGATTTATGTACAAACTCTGTGTTCTATTCTTAATTACTAGTTCGGAGTGTGCTTATTTTTCAAGCCACCAATTTTTGACATCCAAAATAAAAGCACATTCCGCGACTGGGTGTGGTTATTATTCCAAATAGAGATGCTAGATAGTCCGTAACGCAGGCAAAAGCAACTGTTCAATCAGCAAATCGTATTGTTCAGTGATGCCGGTGAGTTTGATTTTGTGCGACAAATGTGTGTACTTGAATGAGTAACTGATATTGAAATACACCACAGTCACGTCAGCGCATCCCTATTTTCCTTGCTTTCACTTCAGAGGACGAGATCTGCTATTCCTTGTTACGTAGAAGTTAACAGCGGAACTCCTTGGCTAAGTGGTAATTATTAGTCGATGGGCCAAGTTTTGGGTGTTGAGTGGAGCCGCGT